GGCCAGCTTGGTATAGTCAGCACCTCCCATTACAACAGGAATCACATTAGCGTCACCAAGATTCCCCCAATACTTTTCGGTGATATAATCCTCGCATAAGGCATTCTCAAAAGAGAGGTAGAACTTATACCTTTTCAGGCAATAAGGGAAATTGAAATTGCTTTGTTTTGTTTTTGGACATGATCGCTTCTCACCGAAGATTCTCCCAGAGCATTTTCCGAAAACATCAACTTTGATGAACTTTTTTAGCTCGAGAACAAACCTGACCCTTAACTTAGCCTTGCAATTGGAAACCATCCAGGCCACAAGCTCTGACTTTCCTCGAGTAAAATCTGGAGGTTGTCCCTTTTTGTTGTCGTATATCGGATCTTCGCTGCTGAATTGTATGTAGCTACCATATGGTCCCCAAATATCTGAATCTCGTCTGTAAGTCCATGTTAGGTTAAATAAGCCGTGAAATGGCTTCGTGTAAGAGAAATATTTTGGACTTTCCCATAACGCAAACACCCAACGCTGTGAAATGGGTCTTTCTTTTAACAATGCTTTAAGTTGGGGCAAAGTGGGCATGTCCCTGGCTTCAAACACAACAAAGTCGCTCTCGGTAAACCGTTTCTTGTCGTAAGTCAGCTTAAATTTATTTAAGGGGCATTCCTTAGATATTTTGTGGTTTAAGTTATAGCAAGGACCTTGCTCATTTATCCACTTTTCCACTCTAGAAAACTTAGTATATACCAAAACCAGCATAAGTGACTTGTTTTGTAGGATTACAAACTTCCTCTCTGTTTCCAGGTGAAAGTCATTATTAGCCATTACGGGTTTCGTCGTCACACTATCGGGAGTAAGCCGGCGGTTTTCCTCTCCAAAGCGAACATAAAGGCTGATTGCTACTACGCCAAGCAGACCATAAACAAAACAACTCACCGAGCGACGAGCTCCCATTTTTTACAACATTGCAGAACTCACCATTTTCAAATAATATTGACCATAATACACATTGTTTACCTCCAAAACTTCTGTATAAGCGTTGCCTCGATTTCTCTTGGGAAGACCCAGGAGAAATTGGAAACAGAATCAATGCAAAATAGCGTAGCGCAAGAATGAAGTCAGAGTAACAATTTTGCAAGTTTTGCCTTAGTTTTGTCATTTTTCTCATTTTAATGACAAAAGACAGACAAACATGACATTTTTTAAATGACAAAGGTCAGACAAAAGTGAAGAATTCGTTAATGTTAATTTCAGTCTGTTTGCCTGAGTTTTGGGCTGTGTAAATAGTAACCGCGCGCAGCGCTATTTAGCGGTTTAGTTGATAATACGGGACCTGGGTGCGGGGTCCCGGGGTCTATGGAAAAACACGGGGTCCCGGAGTCTGTGGAAAACACGGGGTCACGGGGTCTGTGGAAAACACGGGGTCTGTCGTTTTTTTTTTCACTTCAGCTCTCTCCCTTTTTCGCTTCCATCTTTCCCCTTTTCCCCAGAAACGCCTGATACTCAGGCTACTATTTACGTTCACGATCTAGCAGTTCCGGACTGCCTTATTGTTACTTACGGATTGAAAAGTCTAGAGAAATTGTCTGTGATGCAACAAAGATCGACTTGTCGCTTCTTCTCTTCGAGCGCGCGAAGTTAGTTTTACAACGCGGCCCTGAGAGATGAGAGGCGCCAGCTTAGGATGTCTCTCCAAAACGTCAAGATGACCGTTATTCTTCCATATCGTAAACATTGAAATAAAACGCTCCAGAGAAGTCATTAGAGTGAAAAGATGACTAAAAGCAGATTATCAGAAAGTGTTATTAATTTCAGGGTTTTGGTCTTAACGCCTTCGCGAGTATAGTTTACGTTTGCCGGTTGTGCATTTTACCTTCTAGTCTTCATTCTACACCTTGCATG